CACCGTAAAGTATAGATGAAAATTAAATAAGGCTTTAACGTAACGGTTGTTCGAGTTTAAAATATCGATTCCAACACCACAGCCCGTTGTAGCGCAATAGATCGCAAAGTTTAACTGATTTTGATAAAAAGACATGGGGTCTATTTTCCAACGAAGTACAGCATCGTTGGTATTGAGGCGAGATATTTTATAGTCCGAGATTAAGTCGGGAAACGGGGTTAAAAACGTGTTAGACGCGTTGACTGTAATCTCGAGTTCGCCAGTGAGATACGGACTGTCTAGTACATGCGCTGGGGTGATAGCTTGTCGTTTGGCTACATTTTGGTTTACTTGATGCGTTACCTGATCGGCTATTGATTGTATCTGCTTTTTTAACGACTTAAAATCACTCATTATTTTAGTTTCAGTTTTAATATAAAAAGACTTTAAAATAAATGCATTCGTTTCACTTGTTTCAAAATGAGCAGACGTTTAAATTAGAAGACGTCGTAGATAATTTAAACGGCCAAAAATCTTTACGCGTAAAAAGGGTGATGTTTAACCCCGGATATTTTAATATTTCCAGCGCCACAGAGATTGATTGGTATACGCAAATAGATGGGAGACCCGCTGAAAGACCTGATGATGGTATAAGACCCGAACTGGTTAGCCCAGATGTAGAAGTAAGAACAGATAGAGATTTTATTGAATCATTTATACCTGAGATAAACTACGACTTTTTAATTAACGATGAAAATACTTTCAATAGAGTTATAAACGATCTTATAGAAGCGTACGAAGAAGATAGACTAGACTCTGCTTTAGAATTGATCCGGGAAGAAATGGATCAAATTGTAGATGGTATAAGAATTTTAAGCTTTAAAAGACAAGACAAAACACTAACCGAAGAACAAAGCAATACGCTTAAATTTTTAATAACACTTATAGCAGAAAGAAGAAGCTTCATCTTTGAAGGTAAAAAGATAGCGCTAGAATATGTTCAAGGTATAATAAGCGAACCTAGAGCGAGAGTAATTAGACAAACTGGGATAACAATACGGGGGAGTCTTGTCGTGTCTGGTGATAATTTAGATTTTATTTCTCCGAGTCTTTTAGCGCCGTTACCAGCCGGAGTCACCGGTTCGGTCACCATCCCACCTGGGTGGTACGACGTCGATTGGTTCGATTTCATTTTAAATTATATACCCGGGGTAAGTTTTCAAATATTTAGAGAATCTAAAAAGGTGACGTTGGTTGTAACCGACGTCAATCTCAAATTGCGTTTAAACAGAGAAGTCTCTCGATTACTCAATTTACCCAAAGGAAGACTGATACCCAAAGTGGTATATACGGGGTCTTACGACATTAATCCGTTTAAATTTTTGTTTATTCGCTGCCCGCAATTAAGTACGAGTGAAAACTTTTTTGATGGCCGTCCGTCTGACATCTTAAAAATCGTACCCGTGGGTACGCGCAAACCCGAGCCTGATAGAGTCGAAGATTTCAAAAAACTTAAAAATGGTATAATCGACAAACTGACATTTTCGATCATAGGTGAAAAAGGACAGATCATCAACAACAAGGGTGTGAGTATAATGATAGAGTTGGAGATCTTTTAATTTTAAAATCTTTTTATATTAAAAACATGAGTGTAGATGGTAAGGCGTTATACCCCGATATTTCTGGAGATGTACTCCGATTAAATAGTAACGAAGAAACAAAAGTATACAGACTTAAAAAGATTGAAGAGATTCGATCTTTAATCTTAAAAGAGAGAGACCACCGAGAGCGCACTTATAAAAAAATAAAGAGAGTGATCGACACTATTAATTACGTAGAGATAGGATTAGGAGGATTGGGGGCTATAGCGGGGGCTGTCGGTATTCCCGCTCTCTTGGGTGTTATATCAGCCCCCGTTGGATTGGTGCTAGAAGGAACGTTTATAGGCGCTTTTGGTGTAGATATTCTGCTTAGAATCGCGTCTAGGCGATTATCCGCCAAGCTAAAAAAGCACGACCAGATTAAAATATTAGCAGACTCCAAACTTAACACGATTGAAGAATACGTGTCTCAAGCCATCAACGACGGAGATATATCACACGAAGAGTTCTTATTGATTACGAGAGAGCTCGCAAAATTTAACGAGCTTAAGCAAAAAATTAGAGCAAAGACCAGCACAAAGCTTCAAAAGATTAAAAACGATACAGACTTTGAAAAAGAAGTTAAAAAACGGGTAGACGAACGGCTGGCAAAAGAAAAAAAATCTCTTATCGAAAAACTTACAAGTTCAAATTCTCGGTAAATAAACATTATGAAAGCGAACCACCGAGTTATACCTCTATTTCACCTCTTAGGGTGTTACCCTCAGCCCCGCCTTTATTGTAGTGGTCATCGTATATTTTTAGTGCCTTATTAAATTGATTTTGAGTCACTTTAAATAAATCTCTAACTCGTTCTTTGTCTAATCCAACGACGTGATGATAACACGCCGCTATTAATGACCGTTTAACGCAACCATTTCCCCTCAATGTTTTGTAATTAACGAGCTCGTTATATTTATTGATTGTTTCTTGGACATCTTCTAAGTCTTGCTCTGGACAAACAGACAAAATAAGTTTCTCCACAGTTTTTCTTTTGTTTCTCTTTAAAGTTGACCAATTGATACGATCTTCTTGCGCATTTTCTGCCGAAAAATCAAAGTAACGTGAGACTATTTCACCGCACGTTTCACAAATTAAAAAACCATTCTCGATGATTATATGATGATCGCACTTATCCCCAAGTTGTGACGTCCCAAAGTATTCCATCTATTTAATAAAAACCGATATTATTTTTTATTCATTTTTCAAATACTCGTCGGTCTAAACATATTACTCTCCATTTTATATTAAAAAACAGCTCCTCACCTTTTACAGGGTAAGGAGCTAATTTTTTTCTTTCTCTCACTCTCTCTCCGTTAGATTTATTTTTTTATTTTTTTTTTTTCTTGAGATCGGGGGATTTCCCATTGGCCCTGTACTACCCACAGACCTATGACAAAGTCTGGTACCCTGACTTCTCATTAATGGCCCTGTACTACCCACAGACCTATGACAAAGTCCAGCACCCCCGCCTCCCTTACTACTACTGGACCATGGCATTCTATTGTCCACTATCCACCCAAAATAAGACCATATGCCGTAGCCAGGAATCAATTCCCAAAGTCACGACGCTAGTAACATTAGCAATGCTGTAAACCTGGGAAACAGCAAGCGAGGAGCACACAGAGAGGATGCAGCTTTTAACTACAAACTTTTCAACAAACCACAAAGGAAAACTGAAGTGCATGCATCATTCATAATAAATTGTTTGTCAAGTTGAACACAGAAATTGACTGGACCACGGCAGTGTTTGAACTTGCGACCTCCGCCTGCCATTCTAGTGTTCTACCAACTGAGCTATCAGTAGCCTTACCCAAGGCTGTCAGCTTGTTCCCTATACGAGCTTGTTCCAGCTACCGCACACCGCGCCGCGACACACTGATTAAGTTGTACTATACCGTTAGCCTCAACGACCCTTGCATGTGCTTTGTCTGCATGTACGTACACCCCACACACACATCCGTAAACAGCCATACAGTAAGTCGAGGCAGATGACAGCCTTGATGCAACCATGGCGAATTTCTTATGTGTTTCTTTACATTTTCGGCCGAATTTGGCCGAGAAATTCTGATGCGCATATATAACACGATATCCAAGCAAAGCCCGTAAACTTTGACCAGCGACATCATGTTAGCCTACAAAGACTGTATACACCACGTATGTTCACTCAAAAATAATGTCCACATAGTACAGTCCAGGTATTTCGATCTCACTTTCAAACAATTTCCCGGAAAAAATCTCTCCACGAATACGTACCATGTATGAAATAAATCTCATACGTACGACATATGTATTTTAACGCGTACGTACAAAATGTATGTCGTACCTACGACATACGTACGACATGTACTGGTAAGTCGTATGTACGACATGTAAGTTGTATGTACGACATGTAAGTCGTATATATACGACATATAAGTCGTACATATTTGTCGTATGACATACAAGTCCCATTATGAGTTACAAATGTCGTACATGCAAGAAGGGGGCCGTATCATAAGTCCGACGCCTCATAGGTCTGAAGCCTCATAAGTCCGGCACAATGCACAATGTACACTAGCCACAACAAGATTGACGGGGATGATGAAGATGAGAAAAGAAATGACAAGAATTGCATCCTATGCCGCGAACGTGCTAGCGAATGTACCAGCTAACAACCAAATTTTTCTGCATCTTTTGAGAGAGCGACACACCACGTGCCGTCTGCCTGGAGTACTGAGGCAATTTGAGCCAATGATTGCTGATTGGTTGTCAGGAACAAACAGGTCCCTTTTTACTACCAAACTTATCAACTTGTTTGAGAAATAACCTCAAATTATCCAACTTTTCAATCACAGGTAAAAAAAAAAAATATATACACGTGCGGCCATTTTTATGGATTGATCATTGATTTTGTAAGGGGTGTTTTAACCCTTTTTTGGAGTTTTACATCGTATCTTTATTGAATTATTTATTGGACGTTGAACCACTTATTTTCGAACATGTTTTGGACTCCACAAAATTTATCATTTGTACATTTGTTTTTGAAACAGTGGAAATGCTAGTATATGGTATGGACGTACATACCAGCGCGCAACAAAGTCGCCGTGAAAATTGCATATCGGTTGACTTCAAGCATTATTGGGATTTTTTTCACAGCGTATCGGCCCAATATCCTGGCCTATTGTATGCCTGGCTAGAACCCTGCTTGTGCTGGTTTGAATAACTGGCTGCATTTCTCTACTAGCCCACCAGGCAAGTTAAAGAGCACCATTTACTAGCCCGCAGCAGTTTTTACTAGACATTGTACACCTGGCTAGCGTTAAGGGCGAGGCCTGCCCAAAGTCACGATGCCAGCAACATTAGCAATGCTGCAAACCCGGGAAAATAGCAAACGGGGAGCACTCATCACAGAGGATACAGCTTTTCACAGAGCAAAGCTTTGAGTGAGGTTATATAATAAAATTAACGCAAAAGCAATCTCAACAATACTGAGGGTACATTTGATCAAGCACCATTAATTTACTGGCCGCCAAATGATGGTTAAACACCATCACAAAAATACTCCCGTCTAGCTCCCAGCTATACCTTATAGCATGCCTGACAGTAACTAGCTGTTGGCTGGTTATAGACTTGTCCAACCATTGTCAACTAATGTTCAATACAAAAGATTTAACCATGGTTTGTGATCAGACTTGCCCTTCAGTTTACATACCATGATTGCTTGATGCAGCTTAGAAGCAAAGCGGATAAATGACAGCAAAGCATGAGCACAGTAAATGATGCTGCCAAGAAAAACGATAAAGATGTGGTTCATTTGAAAGAATGAGTAAGAGATTGCAGGAGAGCACAAATATTAACAAGATTGCAAAACTGAAGGGTTGCTAAAGCTTTCCTCTGCCTTCCACCCTCCCCACATCTCACATGGAGAACACAGACATTCCTTGCGCCAAATTGCCAAGACATTGGTTTAAATATTATTCATAAATACCTAAGACAGTTTACGCATTCCTTTTGGTCAAGAGCCCGTCATGTGGCCGGTCTTAAACGGATGAAAAAGACATGGCTAGCTGGTCTTAAACACTTTTCCAGTGTCACATGAAATTTGGACTCCTATGAAATCCGGTGCCTTTTAATGTTTCATTGGTTGAACGTTCACATTCCTCCCGTAATTGCATGCGCAATACTACCAGTGAACATCAGTATTTCATGGTCCGAAATTCACGCTACACCAGCCCAGCTGCGTTTTGCGCGACAGGCACACAATGTCCTTATAATCGAGTTGTGGAGGGGCATTCCGTATTATAGTCAGAGGGGTGTTTCGTAAAACATGAAGTAAAATTGTTGACCGAAATGGTTGGTAACGTCTAGTTTTTGACTTCTTTTGATATTTGGAACGAAAAGATTTTTTTTTTTACCAAAAAGGTATTTATGAATGGGAATAAATATGTCTTCGGTCGGTATTAAACAGTCTGTTTAAGACCGGTGGGAGTCTGGATGGGTGATAATTACATGTACCTTCGGCTTCGCCTCGGGTAATTACCACCCATCCAGACTCCCACCGGGCTTAAACAGAGTGTTATAATACCTCCCAAACACACATTTATTCCCTTATTTATAAATGGCTTAAACATCAACATTTGAAGGTCATGTGTGGAAGGTTTAAAATAAGGGAATAAATGTGTGCTCTGGAGGTTTTTATCACTCTGTTTAAGACCACTTAAGAGTCTGGGTGGCGAGGGTAATTATCAGCACCCAGACTCTAAGTGGTCTTAAACAGAGTGATAAATACCGACGGAGCACATATTTATTCCCATTCATAAATACCTTTTCGGTAAGAAAAAATCATATAATTCGTTCAAAACATCCCGATTTTGTTCAACAAATTCACTTCATGCTTTTTGAAACATCCCTCTTGCAAAATAATGGAGTGTTCAGCTGGCGAGTAAGATGTAAACAACCCTTTTATGGAGATTGACGCGCGCGTATCATGTTCTGCGCGATGTCGCGCAGAACGCACCTGGCGCGTTGCGTTTTGAATTTAGAACTATAAAATTCTGACTCCCTGGTAGTGTTGCGCATGCCTACGTGAGGATTGTGAACGTTCAACCAATGAAACGATAAGAGGCACTGGATTTTTAGGAGTCCACATTTTATTGTGACACTGGAAAAGTGTTTAAGACCAGCTAGCCATGTCTTTATTATCCGTTTAAGACCGGCCACGTGACGGGCTCTCGACCAATAGGAATAGCTAAACTGTCTGAGGTATTTATGAATGCCTGTTAATTAAACCCCGCTCAGTGTTTAAAACGACAATGTTAAAAACTGGTTGAAAAACATGTACCCCTTGCTCCATATGCCACATGAAAACAGTTTGTACTGTGTGCACTGGCTACAATCGAGTACTCAAGGAACACTCACGTCATAACCAAAAAGGGAGATGGTGAGAACACTGTGTGCTGCGCACACCATAGAAATGGTACACACATGGAGTAAAATAGTAGAACAAAGTCGCTGCAATTTAGTTAATTTATTGTACGGTTTTGGACCTACATAGTATTTCTGAACAGGGATATTAGCTAACCCTTCTATACTTGTAAGTATCACAGACTATCAAACCCCTGACCCCTACCTCATCAGTAGCTTTTGTTCAGGCTGTCAGCAACTACCACAAATCCTTCAGGATTACACAGTATAACTGCCAAAGCCTGTTTAATTGGTTTCATGGATTTGTTGACCATTAATACTGATACAGGTTGTGTAGCAGCCATTTTAACCTGTCAACTGTACCAATATGATGCCAGCTTTAATACAGAACTGTTCAAAATTGTACCCTGATAGATTTTGATTCACATGGTTTATATACTTAGTGACAGATTGTCACTGAGAGAGGGAGGGATAAATTATTGTAGTCGAGCAGTAATGAATATGATGTATTAAACCGGTTAGGGGCCTAGTTGCTGATTTTTGGGGGTTAAATTTAAGTAATATTTTGATAAAGAATGTTGGCAATGGTACTTACATGGTAACCTCAGACGGTAGACTCTTTTCTTCAGTAACACCCACAATATCACAATCGGAAAGAGTACAAGACATATAGGTACAAAGAAACCTATTACAAAAGACCAGCCATCTATTGGGGAGAAATAAATAATTTAACAATAACATCACATCTCTATTAACATAATTAATGGTTTGCAAGCCTGGCAGTGGTACTTGGATTGTGGAACAGGGGAAGATAGTAGTCTGAATGTTACATTTTTCACCTCCAGTAGGAGGGACATACCATACACAGGCACCCATGGGAGTGCGTCAAATGTCTGTTCCAGAGGGCTCCCCAAACTCTCTTATTCTGAAGTTATAAGTGGGGTACTTGTACATGCAGTCCACAGAGTTTTAAACAGAGACTGCCAATGCACGAATGTAATTAGGACCTTTGATGTGAGGTTCCATTATGATGAACAAGTTTCTAGGCCATTAAGACAATGCTGGAATTATAGTGTGGTTTACAAAGTCTTTAACGTTTCTTTAACATTTGAATGCACAAGTACATTTAGTCTTTTTTTTGTTGTAATTAGTTAATACGGGCGATTCCATATACAGAGCGCCACCTAGAGGTTGCCACGGAGAGTCGGTGTTTGCAGTGCATTGTGGGAGACGGTCGACAAAAATATGCGCAGCGCGGGACACTTGAAAAAAATTAGCAAGTCCGGTCAGCAGTGAGTACTGCGCCAGCAGTTTCGCTAGCTTGTGATTCAATTATTTTCATTTTGTTTCATATTCATCGAGATGGTGTTTTTTTGTGAAGCGGCAGAATGTTATGCTCATACGTCCAAGCTCAAAAAGGCTGAAAAATATGCGTGGATAGATGGAATAACGTGGATTAAATGGCCACGACAAAATCCTGCTACCGTGGCGAGATGGAAGCGTCTGATCAGGCGCGGAGGTAAAAACGAGCTGACCATAACCAAGCGCTCAAGGCTGTGTTCAAGGCATTTTGATCATCACGACATCGATGAGTTTGGAAATGCCAATGGGGATCCCAAGTATTTCCCATGGAACAACTGGGGAAAACCAGTGAACCCACGATCGCTCGCCACATTGCAGAAGCTCGATGCAGCCAGAAGCAAAACGAACATGACGGAGGAGTCCCTTGATGAGCCTGTCCCTGATGCTGAAAGGCCTGATTCCAGGTCAATCATGGACGAGGGAGAGAGAGAAGTTGGAGAAAATTCAATGGAGCTTGGACGTAAGTAACAATGACAATGTCAATAATCATGTGAAAATCTCAGCCTAGGCCCAAGGCAAGCCTAAATAAATTAACATAGGCCTGGCCTCATAAATGGCCAATTCACTGGAATACCTCCGTAAATAAAAGCCACACTTGGAATATGTACCCGGGGTGGAGAACTTTGTCATTTTTTTTAATTTCACATTTTAAGACTGTAGTTTATTTACGCTTTAGAAGCATACTCGCCCTCTTTATAACAATAGAAAATTAGGCCCCCCCTTTCAGACATCTGTATTTCGTGTAATTTCCAGGTTCGTTTGCAGACGTTTGCGTATCTAAATTCCATTACGAAATTACACGAAATGTAGTTGTCTGAAAAGAGGGGACTAATTTTTCCCATGGTCGAGTGTGCTTCTAAAGTGTAAATAAACTACAACTAAAGTCTAAATGTTAAAATGAAATTGGACAAAGTTCTACATTTTTGGGTAATATTTCAAGTGTGGCCTTTTTCACGGAGGTAGGCCTTGTCCAGTAAATTGGCCACATTTACATATAGGCTTTGCACAAAATATTCTGAGGATAATTAGCCATGATTAGGCCTAAAGAAACTGTGACCAAACTTTAGGCATAAAATTGTTGAACATTATTCAAGGCCAAGTAAAATAATATACCAGTTGATTTTCCCTGCCCACTTCTTTTTTTTTTTTTTTTTAATTTTCACAACCTCAGATGATTCTACAAACTTTAGTGATGTTCAATAAGTACTTTAGGAAGGTTTTGTGGTCACACTACAGGTTGAACTATCTTATCTTAATCCATTTTTTCAAGAAATGTTCCTCTTTAAAAACAAACAAAAACGGACGGTCACCTTTCCTTTTTTTTACTTTACCAAATCTAATTTTAAAACCAACTGTTAAACACAGGTCTCACTTTTTTGCGATACCAATATTTTGACAAGGATGTCTGAACTAGACAATAACGAATAACAGTGAGCAAAGTCAAAAGTCTCAACGGTGTGCAGATTTTCTATATTAAAATAGAAAAAAATGACACAACACATACTTGTGGTTTATTTTTTTTTCTTATTCACAACACCAACATGAATAAAATACTGAATCAAACTTTTCCTGTGCCTGACAGGTGCTTTACAATAATAAAAAACAATTACGAAAAGATTTCTTTAGATTAAAATTGATAAGAAAATGACGATTGGAATTACCAAATTATTTTTTTTCAGGTTCATCTCCTCTCCCGTTGTGCAAAAATCCATTCATGTCTTTTATAAAATGTATAATTAATTCTCATTACATTATTTTTGCTCACTTTTAACAATATAGGATTGTCACCTCTCATCCAATGTTGCGATGAGACACCACAACCAGAAGATCATGATTACCTTCATTCCCATATAACCCAACCGTCATATGTGGATCAGAGCGTTCAAACCACCATGACCGTAGCAGACATCCAAGCACTGGAAAGTGAGGCCAATAACCCATCAAGAATACAAGGTCAAGACGTAGTGGACTTAGCTACTGACTCAGACGAGAGGGTACAATTCTACACCGGACTTCACTCCAAAGCAGTTCTCCAGGGTAAGTTAGTTCGGTTTTCATTCACTTCCTGGTTATTATACTTTTTTCTTCCCACAAAAAAAGAATGCGATTTCTTTTTAATTCAAAGTTGAGATAATTTCCTCAGGCTACTGGACCGTCGCATTTCACGTTATTAGCAAATTAATTTGTAAATGTTTAGTGATGCACCGACAACTGACCTGGGGGGCAATGATAAATTTAAAGAAATGACATTGTTGTACAATATATCTTGCCTGTAATCATATTTACAGGAATAAACGCCACAACTAATTGCTCCTCTTAAAAAAAATGTGAAAAAAAGAAGATAAACTTATGATTTCAATTTTGTGTTACTTCAGGTGTCTTTGATTCCATCAGTTTTGGAGTGGGGAACATGAAATACTGGCGTGGTGCAGAAAGTGCTAAGGAGAAGGAGTTTCAAAGAAAGGGCCAAAAACGTCCAGGTCGTGAGCATCAGCTGCCTGCCTTCTTCCAGTTCATCATGTGCTTAATGCGACTTCGCCTTGACCTTCCACTTCTCATTCTGGCTGATCTGTTTCAAGTTAGCTGTTCAACAGTGACAAGGATCACCACCACCTGGATCAGTTACATGCACCAGACACTTGTTCCAACCCTACTGATTTGGCCATCACAGGAACACATAAGAAGATGGATGCCGGCTGACTTTAGGGATGCATTTCCTAACACACGTGTTGTAATTGACTGTTCAGAGTTTTTTGTAGACAGACCCCGAAACAAGAATGAACAGTACAAAACATTCTCGCAGTATAAAAGTCACAATACATACAAGGTTTTGTTTGGGGTAGCTCCAAATGGAGCATTTACTTTTGTCAGTGATCTTTGGTCAGGAAACATCTCGGATAAATATCTAACAGAGAAGAGTGGATTGATAGAAAAGCTTGATGATGGAGACGATGTGATGGCAGATAGGGGCTTCCATATTGAAGATGTGCTCTTGAAAAAGAATTCAACGCTCATCGCCCCTCCATTTACCAGAAAATGGCACAATGCAAAGGGAAAGAGATTAAATGTTGAAGAAATAAGAAGAACAAGGAAAATCGCACGACTTCGTATCCATGTAGAAAGGGCTATCCAACGGGTTAAGTGCTGGCGTATAGTGAAGCATCAAATGCCTTGTTCCTTACAGAGTTGTGCCCCAATGATTGTCAAACTTGTGGCTGCTTTGTGTAATCTTCATGGTCCCCTGTACTACTCTAAAAATGAGCAAAACCTGAAGAAGGTAAAAGTGTCCAAGAGGAAACCTGTCAAGCGTTTATGAATACTTAGTCAGAGAGCAGGGGTCCATGTCATGCAGCTGCTTACAGGGGTGTGAAATCTCAGCTTTAAAGTTGATTTCAGGGTTTTTTGTTTCGGATTTAAGTGTTTTTTCCCCAGCTTTTTCCCTCACTTGCTGTGGACAAAAGTATAGGGGATTAAAAGGCTCTTTGTCGTCATAACTGTAATGATAGAAACATGACACAGGCTGGTTTCTAGAAGTATTTACACAATATTTAATGAGATTTAATGTTTATTTTTTTTCAAATAACTTATTGTAATTATATATTTATTTATTCGCATTGTTTATTAAATATTTATATAATATATACTGACATACAGAATCACTTCTGGCAATATAAAATATTAAATTACACAACTGAAAGGAAGGCATATTTCAGTATTCTCTGTTTCTTTACTAATACTATAAATAATTTGAACATCCGGACTGATTGAAAATCAGCATTTGGTTTTTCCAAATGTTTTGAGTCAAAACAATAATACATGGAAACTGACAAAGGATAGGTTCAAATTCCAACCAACCCACCCCCCCCCAAAAAAAAACCCAATCAAACAAGCAATCAAAACAAAACAAAACAAAGCACTTCATATACTTTTTGGGGCATAGACCGGACTGTTGATACACTTAATATCTAAAGCTCTGGAGCAATGTCATAATATATATGGAATCCTTCATATCCCAATTTAATTGTCAGATGAATATGCCCCAAGCGTAATTTCAGGTGGGCCTAGCCTAGACTAGCAGTAGGCCTAGGCCTACTGGCTATAGGCTTATATTACATGTTCATCTGCAAATTATATGTTCATCTGAAAATAGCGCCCCCTTGCATAAAGAAATGTATGACTGCAAAAATCACCCCTTACATAATTATAGGCCCCTCCCCCTCCGCTTTTTTGACGGTGCACCGACCTTCAATTTTCAAAGTTGGAGAACACTGCATCATGGCTAGCTGTTTCGCTGAAGAGTAAGAGTAGTACCATTACCCTTCAGGGCTGTGTGATACTGAATGG